TGAACTGTTTACTTAATATTTTTTTCTGGCATTAACTGTTTAAAATATATGTAAATAAATGGTTGCAGGAAGTTTTTAAGAGAACCCTGCTTCTGTCAAAATGCAGCAATATTGACCCACCCACAAAAGGTCTTTCATAGTTGTTAATTTAAACCACTAGTCAGTCCTTCAATCAACTCACTTAAATTAATTCATTCCACTTTTTTTTTTTTTACTCGAAGCAGGGTATTTCTCTGTTGTCTGGGCTACAGTATTAGCTCACTACAAACTCAAGTGATCCTCTTCAGCCTCCTGAGAAAGTGTGCTGCCATACCCAGTTAACTTTTTGGGTTTTGTACAGTCTCACTCTTGCCCAGCCTGGTCTCAAAATTCTGGCCTGAAGCAATCCTCCTACCTGGGGCCTCCCAAAGTACTGGGATTACAGTCCTCCATGAGCCATGGCACCTGATCTCATTCCCTAATTTTTTCAGGATCAATGGCAGCTTCCTTTAGGATTTGATGAGTGGGAAAAAATTAGAGCAAACTCTATGCCTTTTTATGGTTGAATGCCACCTCTGCAATCGTAGCTTACCTGCTGAAAGGGCAAAATGAAGAAAGGTAACAAGCCCTTCTCTAAGGCCTAGGTGAGATCAGGGGGGATAAAGGGAGCACAGATGAGTCACTTAGGTTTGGTTGTGTTTTTCTTTCTAACCACAGAAGTCTGTAAATGTCAAAAGGGATAGGAACACAGTTTCTTATAGTGTAACTGTTTAGACTGGATGTAAATATGTGAGACGTTTTGAAAGAAAAAAAAATCAATTACCTTAAGGGGTATTGCATTTAATTCTGAGTTATGATTTCTGAACCATCAACACCACCAAACCCAGAACAACTCACCTGAATGAAAAGGAAACTGCTGTTTGGCTTCTCCTGTGTGGGCGTCCCAAATTATTGTTGTCTGCACTCCGCAAACAAAGGAAAAAGTTAGTGATGATTCTTCTCACAACGTTTTCTCTAGAAACATGTATTGTATCAGAAAAGACAGGGAGCCCTCTCCCTGCCGGCCAGCACTGTCCGGCAGAGTTAGAATGTGAGCCACACGGGCAATTTTTAGTTTTCTATTATCTACATTACATGGGAAAACAGAAACTGATAAAATTCATTAAGAATGTATCATATTCAGAAAGAACAGTCTAGCTAAATATATATATATATTTTATTGAACTCCAAAATAGCTTAAAGATTACCATTTCAATATGTGATCAGTATCAGAATCTTATTGGCAGGGACTCCCTCTCACCCCAACATGTAAAAAACTGCCAAAAATGCCAAACGTAGAAAACATGGGACAAAGCAAAACTACGTGTCTTTTGGGCCTTTTTCCCAATGAAGGGCCGCAGGTATAGGCATTTCTGAAAATTCCTCTGCTCATCATTCCATGAGTTGGGGACTATGAGACAGCAGAGATGTGGGATTACAGGGGTGTGGGGGGAGGGGAAAGGCACCACAGGGAGGAAAGATGACTGATGCCTCGGGAAGCAAAGTGAGTCACAAATTCTTACACACTTAGACTCTGGGAGATGCTTAGACAACAGCCAAAGGAAGCCCAATGGATGCTGGAATTAACCGGAATTTTCATCTTCATGGGAACCCTTATACCTCTCTGGCAATGATACTTCATAAAGATTTTCCCTTAAGAAGAACTAGTTGGCTCGGCACCTATAGCTCAACCGGCTAAGGCGCCAGCCACATACACCTAAGGTGGTGGGTTCGAATCCCCAGCCCGGACCCGCCAAACAACAC